GGCGGACTATTTACCGAGGTCCTGACGAGTCCAGATAATCGAGGTTCGACTGTACTGGCATTGGGATAGGAAGGGTTAAGATCAATTTTTCCTACCATGCTCGTTTAGCCCTTGCTCTTTCAATCATCTCTACTTCTGCTAGTCCAGCTGGTAAACCATGACCTTCAAGAAATAACATAAAAAAGTAACTTTCCCTTAAAATAACAAACAATTCCAAATAGTCTCTTCAACAATGCTGTTAAATACTGTTAAGCACACTGAACTCATTGGAAAGTGTTGATGCTCCACTAATTAACAAATGGTAAACACCACAGTGTACACTATTGAGTTATGGATGCATGTGGGAGTTTGCTAAGCATGAAAGAAGTGTAAGAGTTGCAAGAGGTGATAGCCAAGAGCAACTCTAGCTTCTTCAGTGCTTAGCAAACCTCCCAAGTGTATCCATAACTCAATAGTGTACACTGTGGCATTTACCATTTTGTTTTATAACATAACATTGATAGATTGCAGCAAAAGAGTTTTCTTTTATTTAACAAATCTTCTGTGATTAGAAAAAAGAAACGCAAGTGAAAAACTAGTCTTTGCATTTGCTAACGTCAGCAGCATACACCCATGAGCAAATAGTGGATGCTGAATTGACCAATCAGAGTGCACGCTTTACTTTGGTTATGTTATAAATATTTCTATAAATAACTCAACAATGAACAACTTGTCTGTCAGATGTCTTGCAAAAGATGTGTAATTGTAATGGTTATTTCCAACAAGTAAACAAACTGCCTTATTGCCTTCAGTAGATCTAATGACAATGAATTTAAAAGACCACATGTGTTCTTCATCAACACTTTTCCTAGCGGTTTTCTGTAGTTTACTTTTCTTGAATCTTAATATGGCAATCAGTAAGCTTACAATCAGTTACAGATTACTTTACATATCACTTGTAAGGCTTCATTTCTCCTATTTTCTTGGGTGCAGTTTGTGACCCTCCTCTCTTTGGGAGAGGAGCATGACTTACATCCTTAAAGTGCACCTAAACCCAAAAATGTTTTTATGCTTAACAAAATAAGCGTATTTTTTGGAGTATTTCTGTCCAAAATTTTTATTTATTTGCTCAAATCTTTAATTTTCTGTGCCCAGTCCAAATATGGGAAATTGGCCGCCATCTTGGCTCATGACCGAGTTTAAAGAGGAATGGTTCTAGCGTGTAATTTGACGTCAAATCAGGAACACGAAAGTCTGCACTTCACACACTTTCACTTGTTTGGGAAGGTTGTTGTCGATATTGTCCGAAATATGCCGACTAGGTGTGTTGTATGAGGAATGTATGAAGCGCGATACCCTCTTGCTACATTACAACACACTTTGTCGGCATATTTTCGGACAATATCGACTACAACCTTCCCAAACAAGTGAAAATGTGCGAAATGTAAACTTTCGTGTTCTCGATTTGACGTCACATTACCGGCTAGAACCATTTCTCTTTAAACTCGGTCGTGAGCCAAGATGGCGGCCGATTTTCCGTATTTTGACTGGGCACACAAAATTGAAGATTTGAGAAAATAAAAAAAATTTTGCACAGAAATACTCCTAATAAAAATATGCTTATTTAATTAAGCAAAAAAAAATTTGGGGGTTTAGGTGCACTTTAACTTTTTGACCCCTAAGAGTGACTAGTATCTGATTTCTCCTTACAATATCACCCCTAAATCACACATTAAGGTCAGGAGAATAGAGGAAATGATCACCAACTAAAGAAGCTCTTTCAAATTGATTGTTAACGACATTCTCCTTGTCAGCACCTTAAGAAATGTATAGAGAACAGTATGGAGAATTCACATACTGATATTAGGGTGTAACGGGTGAATAACAGGGGCTGGTAATAAAGCCTTATCGCTAGTTTGTACGACATTTACCATATGAAAGAGTGGCCAGTGTAAGCAGTTCAGGTTGTGAACCCGGTTGCACAACATACTCTGGAGTATACGGGTCTGTTTGTGTCTCACTGTCTCTGTAGTCAGTTTGTACTTCTACCGTACGCGTAGCTGGAGTGGGTGGCCTGTCAGCTTCCATTTCAGGGGCAGCTAGGGGGTCCATTCTGTAAATATGCATTGTACAGTGACATTTAGAGGCAAATAACTAAAATGGCTGAGCAAATCAAAATATCAAACTGGAATGTTAGTCTCTTACTTGGATGACTGCAGGAGAACATCTGGAGGAACTTGCTGCAAAAATGGAATAATCGGCCTGCGGAAAAACTTATATCTGTCTGTCCCAGAAACATGCACCTTCTCATGAAGTTTAGGAGGCACCTGAACCGATGGATCATAATTAAACCTGACAGAGATTGAAAAAAAATACTATAAATTACATCCAAAATAAAGAATTACTGGTACGTACAACATTTATGCTTTGAGTTAAATTTTATTCAAATTTATGCATACACATGTTGCCTGTTTGAAGATTGACAATGACTCTGAAAATTCCAACAATTTCAGCTACACTACACAACAGACACTAATATATTGAACCAGTAGGTTTATATTGCGTGTTTCGGCTGAGCACCAGCATACAATAATGAAGAAACACATATAGAAAACCCTTGCATTCTCAGTAATCATCACAGCACACGACAAAAAGACATACTGAGAGCTTAGCAACCACTAACAAACATTGTGGTTAGAACGGCGGCCAAAAGAAAACCTGCCATAAAAAACCCCGTAGGGAAAAAGAGATAGGAAATCTGGGTAGGAACCAGGCCCAAGCTCATGTAACCTTCCTACTAGGCTACATACATACTTACAAAAAATAAATAAATAAATAAACTTAGCCACAGCTGAGATGCTGTCGGCCTAGAATGATCTCCCACGTGCAATCACAAGCTTTAATACTCATATCACTATACCCATAATGCGTCTATACTCAAGGGCCCAGGCCCTTGCCCTGTTATTCTCATCCCACAGAAATATTTAATTTCCGGCTTATTCCTTGGCAATGAAACACCAGAAATTCCATTTATCTGCTCTTTCTTTTCTTTTTTTAAGTGCTTTGAAAAATTAGGGTTAGGATTGGATAGCTACCTGTTGCAAGGCTTCTCTTTAATTTTAGCTAATGACTAATTACAGTCTTGGTAAAGAATAATTTTATGCTTAACTACAAATGAGCCGCCTGTATAGCTGTGTTTCATCTAAAAAAAGCCCTACTTTGCTGTGTTTCATTAAATAGCAAAAACTTTTAAATTATTGTAAAGAACAAGAGACAAAACCTCTAAAAAGAAATGACTCTTAATACAGACAAAACTGCCACTCACAACAACACATCATTATCTGAACTCACACTTGGCTACCGTGCCTAGGCTTGGTAGCCACCCCTACAATACTTCGTACCAGTCTTGCATTGCCATGCTTATCTGATCAAAAATATAAGAAGAGGCAGAGGGTGGTGGATTGGTAATACCCATCCTTGCCTTGGAAAAATACCTTACATGCAGGGTTATAGATTTTTCGTTCTGCAATTAATATTCTAGAAACACAGTAAGCCTTACTTGGTGTATCTGATGACAGCCTCTCTTTCTTGATCAGCATATCCCCTCCACTGGCGTGGTATGAACTTAGGCACCGGGTCTGTCACCTCTAGGTGGATGCTGTATCTTGGATGGTGACGCAGGTCACTAAACATTGTCTTGAAATGTGGAACTCGTTTCTGTAGCATGGCCAGAAAAAAAGGTGAAATTTTGTGAATAAATCTTCAAAGCAAACTGTCTTGAAATTTTAAGATACACTGTGTACGAGAGTTTTACCAAGCCTACCCCTCACAGTTTTATGACGTTGAGCAGTACTGCCAACTTTGGACTAGGGCTACCAAATAAGGTGGTGAGCACGTGGGTGTGGAAAAAAGAACAAGTAGGTTATGAGAGCGCAAGTTTATGGAAAGTTTTTCCATCGAATTTAGTGAGAGTTTTGTGAATTAGATTGAAGCGGAATAAACCAGGAAATTGTGATATTGTGAGTTCTACGGGCTATTTTATTGTTCGGCTCAACTGAATATCAATGCAACTAAAGGGTGTACATCATAATTCAGACTTACAATTCTATCTGTCCCTGTGTGCGCCTTAAATGTTGCTCTTGCATGGTCCCTATCACTTGACAATGTGTACAGTGGATCTAAAAGAAAAAAGATAAATATATGAATGACAGGTTTTAACATAATCAAGTTTATCTCTGCAGTCTGTATTTTGACAATATTTTTATCAGATCAGTTCTCGCCACTTCTCACTCACACTCACACACACACACACACACACACACACACACACACACACACACACACACACACACACACACACACATTTAAGTGTAATGAGTGAATATTGCTCTGTCCTTAAAAAAACTTATATGGACCCGATTCGTTCGTCGTTACAATTCAAGTTCTCATTTCAGTTTTATGGGCTTCTTTATTCTAAAAACATTCTTGTTAAGATTTCCTTTCATTATCAAATGCACAAGGTCAAATCGATCGATATGAGTAGAACAAGGTATAATCGTTAAAGGTTAATGCTGCGGTTTGTTTTGTAAGTATACTAGACTTGTTTTTTCTTTTGTATCCTCATAAAAAAGGGAAAAAAAGCAACGGTGAAGGGTGCTCGGTAAGTTTGCTGCGCAAAAGATATGAAAAGTTACAATTAATCCTAGGTTACATCAAGCAACTAGCTACGGATTGAGAAAAATAGATTGCAGTTTTGTTTCAGTATCATCCATAATGCTTACCATAAAGGTAGTCATGAGTTCTGGAGTTTTGAACTTTTCCTTGAGTTACCGTTTGTGTTGAAGACATGGCTTTTTCTCTCAGTGAATTCGGTAATTTCAGCGAAAAAACGTCTTCACATTCTGTCAAAACAAAATGGCCGGTGTAAAATTTACTCTATCTCGTTGCCATGCCGACCAGGTGGTTTACACCAGCGCTGGAACCCATGCCTCGAGCGAAGAAACCCATTGTTGTCATATCAACAAAGTTTCGAAAAGAAGATAAGATCGGAGAAAGAATAACGGATGATAAATTCTTCAATATCGCGCCAAGATGACATACTCTTCCTCAGAAAATACGATACCCTTTGTGAGCGAGCTTAGAGCGACAGGCCACGGGGAAGTTTGGGATCATACAGACGAGAAAAAGCTTCAGCAGTTTGGATGGAGATGCACGAATACCGAAAGTTCCTACAACACAAATACTCTAATCGGCAACTGGAACGAACAGCGATTTGACATCAATAGAATTTCAAAACCAAAACCAATTCCTTCACAGGTACAACAACTGTAAGGTTTTCTGCTTTATCAATTCAATCAAGATTTTTTATAATAGATTTCTTGCAAATCAGAGTAAACAGTCCGGCTTTAAGTGCTTTAACCGCAACTTTTTCGATTCAAATCTGCAGTATAATCACTATTTTGAAACGACATATGGTACTGGATATCATGCAGTAGACAGGAGCAAAGTACCAGCGGCGTTAAAACACCTTGAAGGTGAACAAATAGATAACTTGTTTGATCTAGTTCATAATATTTCTTCTAAACGTGACGCATAGGGAATTGCGTTACATTACATTTACAAGCCAAACGATACCACAATCACAGCCTTGATACGTTACGGTATAATGAGCCAATCTCAGTTATCATTGATGTGAAAACTGGTAAACAATGATTGCACCTAAACCCTGTCATGCCTGGAGCAATTAGGAGCGAAGTGGACAGGTGTTGTTCTGATCTCCCACTTCCCATACCATGACTTTCGGCCTCTTAATCAGTGAGCATTACTTAAAACCAATCGACTGTACTTTCCATTGGATTACTGGTGTAACAACCGTTCTGGATGTTGGAAGAACCCAAGAAAATTTTGTAATTCACAAGCCTATGGCAAGCAATTTTGAAACTTCTGTCTTAATTGTTCTCCTAACAACTCATATGGGTTATTTTACTGGTTAATTGACAGAAAGTGCAGTCTATTGCTTTTGTAAAATAACTATGGGTTTAAAAAAACAATAGGCTCTTTACCAGTCAGAGTGCTCATAGTATTTCAGAAGTCACAGATGTACATTTGACATTTCCGTGTCTCTCTCTCTCTTCCTGGACTTAAAAAGTTCTTGGATCCTACACTTTCCTTTCCCACCTGCCCTGCCACTCCCCTGTGTAGCCACATCCAACTTCCTAACGCTGTGTCTTTGTCACCCTCCACCCACTATTATAATAATTTAATATTTACATTGCACAAATTAACATTGGGATATGATCAACTGTGCATTACAATGTTCTGCAGGGGACTTAACAGATTGCTTGCAACAGTTAAAGATAATTATCAATTTAGCTACCTGTCAGGGCTTTATCACAAATTCCTCAAAAAACAGCAAGTATAGTGAGTGAAGAGAGCCTGACGGTTAAGTTATCAACCACTAGTAAATTTATCCTTTACATTAAAGTAGTTAGATTCCCTGTATGTGTGATAGTTGATTTTCCCTTGATTGCCCTCATCAACCATCATACTTCAGAAATCCCATGCTGTTGATTTAATTCATTGTTAAATATAGTCATGCAACAACAAACTTGTGGTTGAAGATCTGATTTTAAAATTGTTTGGTTTTTTTCTTTTATAGCAAGAGAACCAATAGCATTTCCAGCTCATCAACCTGAACTTGATCCAAAAATGCTCAAGAAACAGTACAACTCATATTTGACAACATCTAGAGCAGCCTTTGGTGATCCAACTTCACAAAAATAAGTCTGCTTAATTATCAAAACCCATGGAAATCTTTACTTTTGTTACTTTTTGAACTTCTAAATAGCCACAATTCCCCAAATTTTTTGTTATGGAAGCAATAATATTTTCATTTGGTTTAAAGAGTCAGATTTAAATGTCGCCCCATGGAAAAGTTCTAAAAATTCTTAAATAGTGAAAAACAATTTTTTTTCAGAATTCACATCACATTTTCAAAGAAATTAGCCTAGTAGTCATTATTACAATTAATACCAAAAGTCAGTTTTGCAATATTTTTTGCATATTTATGCTAATAACAATTGTCACAGAACAAAAAATAATTCTTTGAAAACTTAATAAAACTCAATGAAAATTTGTTGTACTTTATTGTGCTTTATTTTGATGTACACATACAAAGTTTTTATGTTTTAAACCAGAACTCAAAATAAGTGGCCAAAGAAAGATGACAACTTTCTAACTACAGGCTTCAAAAAATATGCTTTAAACTTGATTGCAACACCAATCAACATGCACAAAATAATGTTCTCTGCAAGTTTTCAACAGAAAATAAGAAGTAAATCAGTAATCTCTGACAGGAAATAGTCTTCATCATGCAGTCTTTTTTGTCATAGCAGCTTTTGCTCTCATGAACAACTGCATTCCTCTTGGAAGTGCAGAGGCTTGGAGTGCCGCCTCTTGCTCTTTCTCCTTTAATTTCATCTCTGCCATATCTGCCAAAACATTGGCAATTTGAAATTGGATTTGCTGGCATCTGAAAAGAAGTGAATTCAAAAGAACTGTTATTATTTTAATAAGTCATGTTAAAAGCTCACCATGCCATAAAATGGCCCTTGGTGGTGGAGGAATAAGGGTGTGGCATCAAAGCCAAATGACCCTGACCCTTTAAGTAAAGATCCCTTCATTTTGTTAGCCTGTCTAGAACATAAAACTATTATAAATTGTGGTACAGTAACCTTGTCCAGCCAAATCTTGGCACACTCAAACAGAGCATTTGGGACTAGATTTGAAAAAATGTCACATTATAGTTTGAGTTAAGTGCTGGTTCTCTCTCCTTCATGCTCTCCAGGCCATTCTCCATCAGTTCTCAGGATATCCTCTCTCCAACAACACTCCACCTACCTATTCAACAGGGCTCGGAATTAACGGTAACCCGTTAACCAATGGTTAGTAATTTTCAACGTTTGGTTACTAAAAATATGTCCAACTAACCCAACATGGTAAGTGCAATTTTCCGACATATTTAAACAATGGTCGACCTCAGGACAAAGAGCATGTAGACCCGACTCTCAGAGGAATACTTAGAATACTCAAGTAGTTTAATCAACTTGAACTCTTTTTAGAGAATGTGCTGTAGATGTGCTGTTCTTGACTATTCGTGGTAAATGAGAGGGAAATAACATAGGTGCATAATTGTCAGCGCTTTTAAGGTCACCATGCAATTTCAGCTACTCTTTAATTTAATTTGTCCTGGTCGTTATCATCAAAATGTTCAATATTTGAGATATTGTAACTTGTGAGCTTGGATACCAAACTTAATAATTTGGTTAGTAAAAAAGATGTCTATTAACCTGAAGGGTTAGTGATCCAAAAATTAAATTCGAGCCCTGTTCAATCAGGATACAGTGAAAGTTCCTGCTTGGACAGTTTAGTCAGAGCAGGAATAGTGCAGTGGTAAATCAAACAGCTGCCTCACCACTGTATTGGGGCCTTGAATTTGATATCCAGACCCGATGTTTTATATTTGAGCTATTCTTTCCATAGCACTCTTGTTAATTTCCTCCCTTTACAACACCCAGTTCACTTTCAATACCATAACCAAAGAGCCACTTTGTGGAAGGGCCTTTGATAGACAACAAGCAGTCCCTCCTTTTGGGCAAACAAGTCTGGTCACACAAGTCTGAAAAAATCAGTGAAAAAAAAATTTTGGTAGCCTTGTTTTTGTGTGTTTCACCTCACTCTCAGAATTCCACACAACACCCTAACCACAATTTAAATTTTTTTTTGCTGACTTTTTAGACTCGTGTGAAGGATATTGCCATAGAGAAAGGACTGCTGGTACCCAATACCTTTGATTCATTTGTATTTCTCTACTTATATATTTCCTAAATCAGACTAAACCTGTAGGTGTAAAGATCCAGGTGATCTGTAGTAGTAAGGAATGCCTCAATCCATGTTAAATTGGAACAAGGATCAGACATGATGACATAATCATCATGACGAAGTGTCTGTTGGAAGCTGCGAGTCATCTCTTCAAAGTTAGCATACTGGCTGTTTTTCTATTGAATGGAAATAAGACCTTCAATACTGGTGGAAAATCCTCCTTGCAAAATAGATTCCCAGGAAACATGGAGATCACTGGAATACTTAACAAATATTCTTAATAATTCCAAGACATGCAAATTAGGAGAGATTAGAAAACTTAAAAACTTGGAATTGTTGAGAATTTTAGGGGAGATTTCCTTAAGATGACATACGAGTCATGATGTACGTCTTGGATGTACTTCTTGGAATCTTAACATCCAAAATAAATATGGAGCCGGCATTTAAAACCCAGGCATTTTGTTGTCGTCGAAAAGTTTTTAAGGAGAAATTTAATTCTTGAAATATTTAAGGGGTGTACAAAATTTTGGAAGTTGTTCTGCAAAAGAAAAGCAGGAAGGAAAACAATGCCTCGAAGCAACAGAATAGAGAATCAATAATGTGAATGACACAAAATCCATTTTCCCCCTTTAAAACCCAGGACATGTGCATATGATATTCAGCTCTGTCATAGCCGTGCTGAGCATGATGAGCCAAACTGTCAATCATTAAGTTTGACACCCCCCAGGTCTAATTAACAATTATTCCACGAGTGCGCGTTGGATATGAGATGATAGATAGCCAACAAGACGTGTAGTGCCGAGTTGGCTATAAGACTTTGGTCTTGCCAATCTTTCTAACCTGCACTGTTAAAAAAAAAAATCACCTCATATCCAACAAGCACGAGTGGAATAATTGTTTTATTAAAAACGCCCCTATGAAATTATTATTTTGTAAGAAGAAACCAGATTTTTTAGCTCCCTTTCGATTTTAAGCTGATGCGTATGCTTACCCTATTTGTAGATTATGGTATATCGGCTCATATACCATAATGGCTAAGCCAATAAAAAGTCTTGAATGGCATTATCCCTGATGATCCAGTTTTTAATAATAGCTAATATGTAAGTACTTTGACAAGGATGAACTTTAGCTTAGTTCATATATCGTGATCTGACATGCAAGATTAGTTTAAAAGAAAAATTCATGCAGAGTTGATGAATGATCTTAGTCCTCTCTTTGTTGACTGTAAGTACAGTTAAGTTCCACCTATTTAATTTGGGAACCTCAAGGTCATGATACAGATTACTGGACTCTTAAGCTTCCCCGAGTTTCTCACTAACAAGCTTGCTTGTAATCTGCCTATCAAATACCTGTTTTTCTAACATTTCTTTGACATCATCACGTTGTCTTTGGAAGAGGAAATCTTTTTTCATCTACAGGAAGGAAACTTGATTGTCATTGACAGAAAATCTTTGTGTTAATTCCAAAGAATGTCTTTGAATATTTAAATCAAACAACAGTTATCTGTAACAAAGCTAATGAAATTAAAGACCCTTGATGGTTCTGAAAAAAGCAAATAAGACCTGAAATTATTTATCATATGCCTTGGATAATTAACTTGTTTTATCTTTAGTTTTAACCTGTAGAATTGCTTCATGTTCTTGTTTTTGCTGTGCAATGAATTTTTCTGTGGCCTCGTGTATGTTCTGCCAATAAAGATAAAACATTAATGATGTTAGAAAGTATTTTAAGTTGCTGGGAATTATCTTAAAAAAATGAGAGAATGAGACTTAGCTACCTACATACAGCTAGGAAGTACAAAGCAAACAAAATTTTATAAAACCACATACTTATTAACTAAATGGGAGGGCTGAATTGGGAAATTATTAAGCTTGAGGTTATGATGTATGGACCATGCACAGCTAGGTCTATGGGTCATGACTGAGAGCCTTACTCAAAAAGCATTTTGTAATTTGAACATCACTCTGTCTTTTTCTTCATTTCTTTTCTCAGCTTGCATCTCAAAGGGCCATGCACTTTTGTATGGCTCTGCTCACACCATTGCATACAGCCACATACAAGAATTTTTGTCAAATGTTCTCCAGTAAGAGCAAGCAGGGACAATTAACAGATCAGACTAATTACCATGATAATTATTCCAATAAACAAATTGGTGAAAATGAAGTGGCCCAAGAAGATGAAGATAATTGTGAACCACTGGCTGTAGGGTCTTTTGTCCAGATCTTTCTGAATTTCAGTCCAACCATCCACCTGGACAGAACAAAGTTCAAATCATATGTTATGTAAAGTGAAGCAAACTCATAAAATGACCTGTTCGCTTGCAGAATTAATGTATTTTGACATTCTGATGGGGTATCATTCATGGGTCACTCCTGGAAATGAGAGTGGTAGATGCAGTAGTAGCTTACTTAAACAAGTCTTGTCAAGAACTCTGGGTTCAATTCACTTTGTTCTATCAGTGGGTCTCTCCACCGAGGCCTTGTTATTTGATTTGCACATTACACTACCCAACGGATAAAAATTGCTATGCAGCAGATAAGTGTTGACAAAACATACGGCACTGTCCACCTGATAGTAATTTATTCAGTGGATAGGATTATCCAGCCTTTGAACAACTGGGACTATGAGTATAGATGAGTATGCAGATGAACTGTCAGGGAAAGCTGATGAAATGCTGGCCAGGGGTAATTAACCTGCTATTGAGTGGCATCCCATCCATGGTGAGCAGAAAAATTGTCTCATGTTGCAGAAACATAGATTAGGGCTACTTGGCTGTAGTTCATATCTAACCTTTACCTAGGAATAGGAGGGTTTAAGAAGACAGAAGTTCTTAACTTGCCAAAGTCTTATCAGTTTCAGATACAACCATGAAATTAAAAAAAAATGAACAACATGACTCACAGTAACAAATGTGAAAAGTGTCAACATAGCAGTACTGAGAGTTCCCCAGTTTTCTTTATCACCAGTCTCCTCTTCATAACCAAAAATATAATAACCAACCACAGCAAAGAAAGCCATCAACATGGAAAGAAGAATCACTACATTGAGTACAGAGTTCCTAATGGTGTCAATCAGTGCTGTGACAAGAACTTGGAGGCCTTCAATGAAGGAGATGGTCCGCAAAGTTCGAGCAGCTGCAATCAGGAGATAGAACAACAACTCAAATTAAGGTGCTAGTTTAAGTTGATGCAAGTCAATAAAAATCTGAACAATAAATTGTGAGAGATGTGGTTGCCTATACGGTCAGATCACTGTTTAAGTCCTAATCTGGGATGCTTTGTTCTTGTTTGAATAGGCTGCCACCACTATGCATGTTGCCACAAGTTAATAATGATCTGAAAGAGAAGTTTGGGAAGATGTGATTGCTTCATGGTCAACTTCTTTGCCTGAATAAGGTTTAAGCTCTGGTCTGGGATACTTTCTTCTTATTTGGAGAAGTTTCTACAACTTCGCAAGTCACTCTAGGGTGAAGACTTTCCCCTCCCCCAATCTTACTATCAAGAAGTTGACTCTCACAAACCTCTTAGAAGCCTCAAAGGTGTGAGAATTTTATCACCCACGTTCAACTCATCCATAATAACTTGAACATATGACAATGCCAGGATAGAGACGTCAAATCTGTTATAACTGCTTTTCCAGTATCCCCTTGGTTCAGCATACAGTTTCATCACGAATTCCATGGTGTAAATAGCAAGAAATAACTCATCCAAAGCTTTGAAGACATTCTTATAAGCAACTTTCCACTCCTCCACTGTCTCAAAGCCAATGACCAAGGAATTGAGGACTATCACCACCATGATAAAGCCATTAAATACCGAACTCTTCCAGGCCATTCAAAAAAAAATTATTAAAAAAATTTCAAACCGTTTGGTAAAATGTAGATCTCACTGGCTTAGATCTTTGAAACAATCAGTATCTGAGCAACTGCTCACCCACCCCTCTCTAACTCAACATTAACCCTACCATGGTGACAGTTGACAGTTGTTGTGTTAGGGGAGGGGTGGTTGTGCAGCTGCTCAGATACTGAAGTTGATCCAAATCTTTTTATATAAGCTCAAGTTTTTTCATGTTTGATTAAATGAGTGAACACTTTCTTTGGACATCTAGCTAGAGAGAGCTTGCATATCATGACAATTCGAGTCAATTAATATTCTTGTGATGAATAGGAGGCGGTGGCATGGCCGAGTAGTTAGGGGTGCTGGACTTGAAATCTGGTGGCCTGGGTTCAAGTCTTCCACCCTGCCACTCACTGGATTTGTTCTCAGTTTCCCCTAGTTCAACTCCTTGGCTGCACTCTGTAAATAACCCACTGGTCACCTTCTGCCAGTGGGGACTTTTAAGCAATTAGTTAAAACTTCTTCTTAATAGAGCCCACAATGTAAACTACTGGGTTACCAGTAATTGTGTTAGCTATTAAAGTTTTTTTTTTTTTTAATATTATGATTGAAATGTTGTTCACCTTAGAGTAGATATAAGTACATCAGTTAGGAACAGTAAAAGAGAAGAGGTGTTCTAAAGTCACATTTTACTAGGGCACAAGGATGGCAAAGGAAAGACAAATACCAGTGGATCCAGTGTGCCCCATATTCCCCTTGTACCCACTAAAGATGTGTCTGCACATGGCATATTGAGAAATTTCACAATCCTCACAAAACTTTGGAATAACAGTTTTAAAAATGTTAAGTATCATGCAATTGATTCATGTGTCGGGTTGTCAGTTGTGGGTTTTATTGAGATATAAAGCACTTGGAAAGCATTTAAGAAATTAGGGATGCTCTTGGGTGTGTCTTTATCAACCCAAATACATTTTTCACGACCCCGAAAACAACGGAAAGAATTATCTCATTGAAGGCATGCTGGCACATCAAAAAACCGGTCATTTGCAAATGACAAAATTGAAAATTCAGGGTTGCATCAAGATAATAATGGACAGTGGTCTCGTGCCTTTAATTTCACGAATCTCTGTGACTTGTTAAGATGCACCATTTCAAGGAAGCAATAACCTATTATATTATGACATCTCACCTCTTGATGTCAAGAAATAAGCGGGTAATCTTACAAGTTACCGTTCATTTTTGCTACTGATTAAGCTTTGGATTTAAGACCTGCTGAGAAATACAAGATGCAAGCCCACTCCTGATACCTTCGCGAGATGTCAAAAAAAAAAAAAAAAAAAAAAAATACATACATACATACCATGCAGTGAGGCAATAAAGGAGAAACCTTACCGTTGTTATCTTTTGTATATATTTGTGAAACTTCTCGTCCGCACGATTCCTTCTCCGTTTCCTAATGCATTGATTGGAAATTTTTATTTCAAGAAAGAGAAAACATAATTTGGTCCCTATTAAACTTTGTGCTGGCTTTCGTCAACCAACCGTTCATTTGCTGAACAAACAGTAGATTTCCAGCTCGACAATATGCAATCTTTCCCTCCAATCTTACCTTAATAGCTCCAAAGTTCCTTGATTAAGGTTTGGAAACATAATTGATGTAAGATTTCTTTGTCAAAAACCGGAAATTTTGTTAGGACACTCGATCGTGCCTGGACGTTTGCCTAGATTAAAAGGTTCAAATGGATTGTCGTGGCGAGACCCCCATTCAGTAACCGAGGGAAACTGGTTCGAGGTCGCACACTGCCCAGATAAGTCTAAAAGGGCAGGGGGCAGGCGATGGGCAAAGCAACTTTGAGGGCGCCTAATAATTCTGATATCTCATGAAATAACTCCGAAAAAGCATTTGGCATGTACTCTACCACATTTCAGAAGGAATTAAAAAACATTCCTACTTTTCACAAGTTGATTGGCTCATCTGTTACATTTTACAGTTTTCAAACTATTTATTGCATCGTACACAACTCTACTTTTACTACAGACTGTGTGTTTCTAAACTGTAACTATTTCTTTCAATCGATCAATGGAACAATTGACAGTTTTTCAAATACAATAATAACACTAAACATAGCGCAACTGGCTGCATGTAACACCACGCTCCTTGGCGATTACTTAAGCCACGCTGAGTCATGCAATCTCAGTGACAAACGGTGTGTAACAAACTTAACTATCAAAGCAAAGGAGTCTCAAACTAATTAAACTCAAAGGATATTGAATAGGGAATCGTAGAAGCTTCCTTATAGAATTACGCAGTAATAATTAATGATCCATAACTTAACATTCAATGGCGAAATCTTTTGTCCAATGCTCCTTTCTCTCCAAAATAATCAAAAGTATAGATTTCTTTTGCAAATGGCTGACCTGATTGTTACTGTTGTCAAGGCTGTGGTCTAGCAGTGCCCGGTGGCCCCTGGTGCCTTACTTTGTTCTTGGGTGACTCAGGAATTTTAGTTTTTTTTTTATACAAAGCATATGATGGGCACCCTGGATTTCACAGTTTCAGGGCACTGGGCCCCATTCAATTTTCCTTAGAGCACAGCCTTGTGTTATACTCCTGTAGATTAGCCTTTCTGACCCTCATAACAAGTGTTAAATCAATATAATTTTCATTCAAAAGCAAGGGCAAGAAGCCTTCTTGCATGGACATGTTCCGTTCTAGTCCTACCCTACTACGGTAATGTGGCGAAAATGGTTAGAATAACAATAACGCCTGCCATTAAAAAGATCTATTTAACCCTTTGACTCCCAGCATTGACCAAGTCAACTTCTCCTTACAATATCAAGACAATATCAAGTAGACATGTGACGAGGAGAAAGAAAATAACAACTGGGAGATTATTTCTTGATCCAACACTAATTTCTTAGAATTAATATTAGAGAAATGTATGGTGGGCAGTAAGGAGAATTACTTGTATGATCTTTGGAGTGAAAGACTTAAAACAATCTATGAGAGATCAGTAATGCCACAGTGTGACCAATGAGTGCTCATGAAAATCTTAGATTCTAGAATTACAGTGGAAGTTCTAACCATTATTCATCTACCTGAGTATGAAAGTAAGAGAAATAAATATATGTAGATGTGTACGGAGCTACTAAAAAATCAAAAGAAAAAAAAAATGGGAGAAGCAGGATAAATCTCAGAGGCACTTTTGCTGCATCAATAAAAAAATTAGCACATCTACTGTGTGGCAAACTTAACGTATCTATCTTTCTAGACATCTTTAACCCTTGACTTATGCTTAACAAATACGATACAAAAATAAAGATCTATTCAAACCCATTCCTGATAGTTATACTTAAGTGACACCTGCAAATTTATTGCAATTGTTCAAGATCATTATTTCAACTATGGTAAACCAAGCAAAAATACAGAACACTATGGAACTCAGAGATAAGCGACACCCATCTCCTGGGGTAAGAACTGTCAAAATGTTTCAGTTTGCATAAGATTTCTGTTTGAATTTTTTAAGATAGCAATTTGCTTACTACTATTACAATTGCACTTTCAGTTTGAAGAATAACAGCCTTAAAAATAAACTTAGCCTTTTCTTTTTTCTCACTCATTAAATATAAAATACCACCACTTTACATTCAACTGACAATTGAAATAATTTGTAACTACTCTCTGTAAATCCAAAAAATTAACAGGACCAAAAAAAAAAAAAAATTGTTAAAGTGCAACTTAAGCAGCAGAGAAGAACTATCACTTCCTGCCTTTCTGTGTCTTCTGATGTTGTGCCTGTGCAGTTCTGTGCAAAATAAACAAAAGTAAACAACAAAAAAGTGAAGCAAAACAACAAATATAAAGCACCAGGACTTGTGGCCCATGCAATCCAAGCTAGTACTGCACAACACAGAGGTCTATTCTGAATGGAGCCAGACTCAGAAAGTCTTTATTTGAAGATGTTTTAGTTTTCTAGTGCAAATGATGTTCAAAAACAAACAAACAACAACAACAAATACAGGTGAGAATCAAAGAAAGTAAACATAAACAAAGAAGAAGAAAAGAAAAAGTACATAATTCAGCCCAGTTTAAATGACTTTTTAAAGAAAATAAATTGTTTTACATCTTATTATTTATTTATGCTTACTTAAGTGAGAAGTTATGTTAGATACGACATAAAAGATACAATGTTTTACTTCAGAGTTTATAGAAGATTTAAGCCTCTTGATTAGAAGAAATCCTAGAAACAAGATACATGCATATGTTAATTAAAAAGATTTTTGAACATCAATTTTAATACATCATCTATGAAGCTCTTAATTTCAAAGTGTTAAAAGGTACTGGTCTAATGATAACACATACAAAATAACTGAGAAAAGGTTGCCCATCCATTGATTTAGAGTTACATTGTGGTGCGTTGGAAAATCAATACTGCACTACTCTTTGTTGTTTATGTAACACATGTAATACGGAACATGATAAGAACGGTGAGGCACTTGTTACAGTGTACATCCCCAAGTAAATGAGATTAACTTAAAAATAAAACTTATTTTTATTTGGCACTGATCTCATGAGAAACTGAAATTTATGTTAGATTTTGTTATTTTGTTATATTCAGATAAGTTGTGCCTTGATGAAGCTTCAACAAAATAGACTTGTCACTTAGAACTGAAAAGAGCGTTACAAATGTCAATAAAAGGCAAAAAACATAACTGAGTTTTATGAATGTGAAAATAACTGAATTTAATGGCCACTAAGGTGCATATATATCTTGTTTACCCCGTGATTATGCTTTTTCTTGAAACATTGAACTGGGAATATTAAGTCTATTACAAAAGAATAGTGCTTCAAGTTTAGCCCATGAATGTTAGAACCTTTCAAAGAAGCCTAGATGTTCAAGGACTTTTCTACAAGTTTGCACCCTGAATAGGTCATTTCTGCAAAGACTTAATAAATCTTAAATTAACATGAAATGATTTCTTGTTCTCAGGCAAACACAAATAAGCAATGACTTACTTTGATGCATCCTCAACATCCATGAGAAGAGAATCCTGTCTGAGATGAAGAGCATCTCTGTTCATTAGCTCCGTAACCAGCACTTCATTTTGAGCTATGAAGCAGACATCAAAATAACTTTTTTAGACACTAATAAAAACACCATAATATTTTTGAGACATAATCAGCAACCAATCAAATGCAACCTATCAAATGGAAAACCCACGTTTAATGCTTTAACTCCCATGAGTGACCAAGACAGAATTTCTCCTTACAATATCAACACAATATCCAACCAAAAAGTGACAAGAATAAAGAAAAATATCAATTGGGCAGTTAGCAGTTGATCCAATACCAAATTCTCCCAACTAATATCATAAGAATCATATGGCAGACAGTTAGGAGAATTACTATTAAAATCTTGGGAGTGAAAGGGTTCAGCAAATCAAATGAAATGATTGCAACAGAGGATCTGTAGCAAGTATCTGAAAAAAAAAAAATCTTAACATAACCCTTAAACCCTAAGTGTGACCAGCATCTAATTTCTACTTACAGCAATGCTGCTGAATCAGTCAGTGAGATCATGAGAATAGAAGATATGATCACCAACCAAAAAAGTTTTGGTTGTTGAACAAATTTACCCAGTCAGTACAGGGCTCAACATTAATGGTAACCAATTAGCCACAGACTATTAGAAATTCAGTTTTAGCTAGTGCTTTTCGATGTCCACTCGCCAGTTTGGCTAGTAAACAAACTGAAATTGTCATAACATCTAAGTTGTCACCAGCCACTGGGCTAGTAAGTTGAAAAGTCAGTGTCAAGCCCTGCAGTACCAAAAGGTAACGTATAGAGATTAGAAGAGTATGGAGAATATCGATACTGATGTTAGAATGTAAAGGTTTAAGAAATCTTTACTTCTTTACTGCATCTCACAACACCTATGGTTTAGCTCAATGTTGAATATTTTCAATTCATACCATCATCATAGGGAGGCACCCTAGTTTGAGCCCTGGATGGGGACATTGTGTCGTGTTCTTAGGCAAGACACTTTGCTCTCACAGTGCCTCTCTTCACCAACATGTTTAAATGGATACTGGCGAATTTAAAGCTGGGGGTAACCTTGCGATGGACTAGCATCCTATCCAGGAGGGGGGGGGGGAAAGTAGAAATACTACTAGTCGCTTCATGCTATGGAAACCAGAGTTAAGCGCTGGCTGGATGGACCACTTGGCTTATATACAGACTTTACCTTTACCTTTAATTCATACCAAAGTTAACCCATGAGTCCTATAATTTTCCACTGACATCACTTTACCTTCAATCAGTTGGCTCATATTTTTCTGGAGTGCTCTGAGTTCGTCCAAATTTAGTTCTTGTAGCCTCTCCTCAGTCCATCCAAGCATCACATTTGTGCAATTTTCCTGTTTTTCATTATCCTTGTCACCGTCACTGTCCTGCTCTCTCAGTTCTATTAGCACTTTCTCAGATTCCTCCTGCGATATCTCATGTTTTTCCAGCGTTTCTGGTCTTACTGTTTTTATGCTAAAAGACTCACATGTCTCATCGTCACCTGCAATGCAGCCTGAATCTCGTTTTTCTTCATCTGAGACATCTTGTTTTTCAATAATGTACTCTTTTATGACACAACCATCTTCGTCCCCTTCAACATCACTTAGGAGTGTATCATCAACAAAACAAATTTGCAAATCAATTGGTTTTAAGGAAAAATGTTTTAGCCTTTCATTGGATGTGCCAGGAAGCTCACTGTTTTCCAAGTCCTGTGTTTCACCCTCTGAAGTGAGACAAGATTCTATTGATTCCCAGTCAGTTGTCGGTGATGGCAATTCTGCCGGTGTGCTGACAGAATCCATCCCTGTTAGTTCATCGTTAAATGTGTCACCTTCCAAGACATGATCACCATCATATAAAACATGTCTGTGAGGTCCATGTTCTCGTTTGTTTCTAAAATTCTCCTCTTCTACCTGTTCAAGGCTGTCATTGAAAACATCTGAAAGATTATCATCGTCACAATAAGATGTATTCTCTGCACTCTTCATAAATGGGTTTGTCCTTATATGTAAACTTCCCATGTCTGGAGTGGAAAACAACAGTTGTGATGCTGCTTCAAAATCTGGCATGTCATAAGAGTTTGTGGTTCCTGGTCTTGCAATGATCTGATCTTGAGATTGCTTCTTATGATGTCTCCAGGCTCTTTGGATACTGAACAAATTAAAATGGGTAGTGATAAGAATGATGGTACATGTTCTCAAATCTTTCCTAACTCACTGTAAACATTAATAGAGTTCTCATAATTCTTTTAACTCTTTGACCCCTGAAAGTG